GCCGCAAGGCATTGTGGGGCAGCATTTTCTCCTCTCCTTTCGGTAAGGGAGGTCCAGTGGTTCCTAAGCTAAAGAAGGTTATAAAGGAAGTTTGAAACCTCCTTTCCTTTCATTTGGGGAATTGGAACAGCACTTAACATGGCTGCCACTGACGTACTTCTGGGTCATTTCACTTGGTTAGGAAGGTTCCTAAGCTAAATGGACTATTGGAACGCAACCCCGGTCTACGTGGGCTGGGTCCTCCGTGGACCGCGTAGGCTGCGTACTCCAAAGGGTGCAGCCACTGAATTGAGACACCGCCTTTGTTTCTGATAGCAACTTTGGCCCAATCCCAAACCACTCCCTCCCTGAGGGAGTGAACTCCGTCTGTAGCCACACTCGCAGCTCAACGAGGCTCCCTCCTGTCAGGTGGAGGGAGTAAATACAGCAGCAAGCTTTGGGACGGCCTCCCCTCTCTCCGGCAGAAACAGGAAATGCCGTAACTGTATACAACGGTTTCAAATCAGCATCTTTTTGACAAAAAATGTAAATTAATAACTCAAATAAAACTCCAAACATCTTTAATTGTCTTACTTTTTTGTAAAGCTCTTTTAGTTTTAACCCTGATGTTTATAAGCTTCTTAGTTTTTGCAACAGTCTGTAAATATACACAACTTTATAATAAAATACACACCTTGTTCTAGACTAAACACAGGTATGATCCTAAGTTAAACACATATGAGGTTATCATGAGGTTGTTAACATCGCAGTTTATCAGTGGGTGTTTGCTGAACACTTGTAAAAACAGCGGGTTTCCTGACGGACACACACAGCGTGACTCAGGTCAGGTAGAGACGGTCCCAAAGTCAAGCAACCCAACTGCAGACGCGCTGTTAGGGCTTGATAGCCCACTCCCCTCCACACCGCTCCACAACCATTGTTTGAACAGCCCTCAATATGGCGACCCTCCGCGGAACGCGCACGAGGGTAGGATGTAGGGTGCAGGGGCGGTTTGGGAATGGCCGTACTGTGGTCCACCATCCGAAATTACGTCAACTCGCCAGCAATCTACCGCTCGTACCCCCGTTTTAAAAAGATTTGGGACGAGGAAAAGAGAAAGGGTGTTATTTTCTGCGCTGCGGAGTTCCTCCGACAACGGGACACATATTGATGTATAATATTTTCTACTGTTGATATGATTTGCTTAGTGTCAGCCATTTTCTTTCTACTCGAGTGTAATGCCTGTCACATCTGCCCTGACAAAAATAAGAAATCCCATTGACTAAAAAGTGAAACTAATCTAACCTAATAAAAAATGTAATAATACAAGACAGAAGTAATTATAATATAACACAAATATAACACAATTTACGTAAAAACCTAAATCAATCAGGACAATATAGTTAACAAAAGGGGTTTCACCCTGATTTAAAAGTAAGAGTTGCAGTTTTCAGGGAGCAAAGATATAAATATATCCGCATAATAAACAAGAAACGGCTCGTCCATGTTGGTTTACTCTGTGACAAAAGAGTATGGTATGTAGGTTTATGCAGCAAAAAATCNGTCTGCAGTGGTGCTGACTTGAGACCGGTCTCTACCTGACCGGAGTCACGCTGTGTGTGTCCGTCAGGAAACACGCTGTTTACAAGTAGTTCCAGCAAACACCCACTGATAAACTGCGATGTTAACAACCTCATGATAACCTCATATGTGTTTAACTTAGGATCATACCTGTGTTTAGTCTAGAACAAGGTGTGTATTTTATTATAAAGTTGTGTATATTTACAGACTGTTGCAAAAACTAAGAAGCTTATAAACATCAGGGTTAAAACTAAAAGAGCTTTACAAAAAAGTAAGACAATTAAAGATGTTTGGAGTTTTATTTGAGTTATTAATTTACATTTTTTGTCAAAAAGATGCTGATTTGAAACCGTTGTATACAGTTACGGCATTTCCTGTTTCTGCCGGAGAGAGGGGAGGCCGTCCCAAAGCTTGCTGCTGTATTTACTCCCTCCACCTGACAGGAGGGAGCCTCGTTGAGCTGCGAGTGTGGCTACAGACGGAGTTCACTCCCTCAGGGAGGGAGTGGTTTGGGATTGGGCCAAAGTTGCTATCAGAAACAAAGGCGGTGTCTCAATTCAGTGGCTGCACCCTTTGGAGTACGCAGCCTACGCGGTCCACGGAGGACCCAGCCCACGTAGACCGGGGTTGCGTTCCAATAGTCCATTTAGCTTAGGAACCTTCCTAACCAAGTGAAATGACCCAGAAGTACGTCAGTGGCAGCCATGTTAAGTGCTGTTCCAATTCCCCAAATGAAAGGAAAGGAGGTTTCAAACTTCCTTTATAACCTTCTTTAGCTTAGGAACCACTGGACCTCCCTTACCGAAAGGAGAGGAGAAAATGCTGCCCCACAATGCCTTGCGGCCGCAGCATTTGTCACACAACAGTCGGCCGTTCACGGAAACAAATGATTATGACGGAGAAATTATATCATGAAAGTTATGGTGCTTATTAAGCATTTTAAGACGTATGTGATAAGTTGCCTAAGTGCTTTGTTTTGAACGTTCATCAGTATTATAATCTAAAAGAGAAATATGAACGTTAGTTTTTACTGAAATGATCAAATAAAGTTAACATTTCACTGAGCTGTGTGGGGTTTGTTCAACTTTTAAAAGATGTTTGAATGGTGATATACACAGTGATAGATGTTAAGGACTAACGTTTATAATAAATACATTTGTATTGATTTTAAGATATTTTCAAACAATCATACGTATTGGGATCATTTGTATTAATGTGGACCGGACGGAGAGGGTAACGAGCATAAATTTCACTTTCCTTTTTTATTTCAATAACAACTTTGGTCATGAAGAATATGTTTCTCTGTTGTTCATAAAGCATAAAANCCCAGCATCACCCAAGCGCAGCTTATCGACCCAATTTCCGTTCCTTTCAGCAGCTCTGAGTGGCTGCCTTCATGGAGCCGATGGAGAAACGTTCACAGAGGCCGTAGCCCTCGAGGCGTGATAAGCGGTGTCCTGTGAAGCTTAACCCCCAAACACACGGGCCACAGCCGTTCCAGAGCTCAGACGTGAACTGTGAACCCCGCGCGCGGTCAGGGAAATATCCGATTGGGGTGCCAAACCGACACACCCACGCTCGCAATGAAAGGGCCCAGGCTATGCTCAGCGCCGACGCGGGTCGACACGAGAGGAACTGCCTCCGGCAACGGCGTCATCCTGTCAACCATGGTGAGGAGGTAGGGAAAAACCCTGAGAAGGAGCGCAATGCCGTACCCACGAGCTTGATGTTCCGCCTAAAAGCAGACTCAGCCTTCCGGGCCGTCCAGTCGACTCGCCTGGAATGGGGGTTGCCTACCCTTCAAAGCCTCCATTACAGCCCCTCATACAGCGGGCCTCATAACAGCGGGGCCTCATAAATGTGGGCCGGCCCGGGCGATGAAACGGATGTAGCAACAGTCACATATCCCAGCGGAACTCACGGGGAGCGAACCGGCCCTGCGAGTGGGCGGAGCGGAAACGGCCGCAACAGGCCTCAACGTTCTTGCAGCCCAAAAGCATCGCCAGGAACTCGAAAAGTCCAAACGGGCGTATCACTGCGTCTTAGGGACCGTCCAAGGGGATGCATGGGCACCTGGTGTTAACCGACGCTACCAGGTCCACTTTCAAACACACCAACGTACCGGCCAGATGTGTAGGTGATATAGTTATGTTACGTCCAGCCTTCCCCAAAGACCTTCTTAACTGTTGAGGGTGGCGGCGAGTGTCACAGCTAGCGCCTCTGCACGGCTGTCTGTTAGCCAAGAAAAAACGGTCCGGCTCTTCAGCCAAGCAACCGGAGCTCCGTAATTTGGACAGTTGGTAGCGCCGTCTGAACCCGGGAAGCAGGCGCAAGGAACATCTCATGAACAAAACCCGATGGTCTTCCCCCCTAAGCAGATTCAGCATTTCTCCATCAGCCTGAGATGGCTTGCTGTCCCTAGGCCTTGAATGTCAAAGATCTGGCGGGCTCTCCTTAGCAGATAAGCTAAATGATCTTAAGGAAGAAGGGCCTTAATCGCCTCATATTTTTCCATGGTGCGGGGGGTCGCCATAAATCCCACCAACCTGGATGACGTATAGCTTCCCATGGCTGCTACCACGTGGAAATATTTCAAATCCCCGTCACGGACTTGTCGGCAGGCAAAGTGTGCCTCCGCATGTGCGAACCACGCCGCTGCTCCCAAAACTCCAGCAGCTTTACAAAAACATTGCGATCAGCCGTGTTCATTGAGTCTTCGGAAACTTTCTCGAAAACGTCAGGGTCACCAGTGTAGTGCCGATGAAAGGGAGTCGGAGGCGGTGGTATTAAGAATGGACTTCCACCACTTTAATTATCCATTAATCTCTAAGAGGGGTTAGTACATGAACTGCTCTGCATGACAAGCTAGTAGGAATGACATCAAACCCGGCACCCTTCACTAACGGGTCCGGGTTGCAACACAAATAATATCAAGTGGTGAATTATAACGTGTCACCACAATATATTCATTTAAATATAATGCTCATTTGGCCTTTGTATGCACAATGTATTTCTCATTGGCCTATTGTCTATGGGTGCAACTCACAATGGCTTGCAATATATTATAAAGGTTGTTTTATACATTAGAAAATATAGACTTGACTTGAATAACCGATTGATTTTTTTAAAATCACAATAACTTTTATAACTAAGCTTGCTGTTATAAATGACTTTGGGCTTCAATATTGACAATATGCAAGTAGTGAGTTAAGTTGGGACATTTGGAGAAATATAGGTTCTATTAATGTTGCACATATTATTTGTTAAATTATCTATCAGTCATTAGCATATTTTTATCGTTATAATGCTGTTTTCGGACTGGTAAAACATTATTTTTGTGCACAGGTAATTTCACAGTTTTACACGTGCCATCTGTGCCAAGATTGTTTTTTTTATATTTTAAAGATAGGTGATACAAACAAGGAGACACTCCCCAAGCTTTGCATAAGCAAGCGCCATTTTAAAACAGACGAGCTAACGTTAGGTATTTCTAATTTCAACAAAGTATTTTTTAATTTCAACAAATCCACAAAAAATGGCAGGTAAAAACCCAAGTTGTGGTCGTTGGACGAGGTACAGACGTTACTCAAACTCGTTGCGGATGAAAAAAAACAGCGGGAGCTCGACGGCATATTGCATAATGAGAAAGTTTACGGGAGGTCTCTACACTTTTGGCCGTACACGGCTTCACGAGGACTTTCCCGAAGTGTAGAGGAAAAACTAAAAAAAATTAAGCGTAGTTATAGAGCCATCAAGACCACACGGCCGGAGTGGTTCCAGTAGGAAAACATGGAAGTGGTTTGACCGGATGGACGCCATATACCACTAGTCATAGACCGGTCAACGTTGGGAGGGAGGGAGGCCTGGACTCGGCAACGAAGGTGCTGGAGGCCGTGCAGGATGGTACGTTTTTGCTAACGCTCCGTTCTTTCCTTGAAAGCGTTGTGTCCCTATCTATTGTAAAGGTGTGTGCTAGATCGTATACCTGCTGGGTTTTAGGCGGAAGTGACGTAATCTGCCACCGAGGACAAGAGACGACGCCAGTAGGCTTGTTTGAGACGTGTTGCGGCTCGCCTCGAAAGTAGACGAGAATAGCCGATCGCAGCCGGGGGAGGTCTCAAAAAGCTCGCCTGAAGTCGGACAGCTCCGAGTCGGCTTCTTCTTCTTCTTCTTCTTCTTCTGCTGCTGCTTCGCCTTCTTCTTCTTCTTCTTCTTCTTCTTCTTCTTCTTCTTCTTCTTCTTCTTCCTCTTCTCTCGGTTTTTTGGCGGATTGCAAACAACTTTAAGGTGCATACCGCCACCTCTGGAGTCGGCTTGACTAAGTTTGCATTTATAAAGAATGCACACGTGTTTAATCGTTAATGTCAGATATGTACTAAGTAAATACATTTGTTCCTGCTCAAGATTAGATTAAACTATATTGTTATTGCACAGATTACTGAGACAACAAAATGCAGTTTAGCTTCCAACCAGGAGTGCAACAAGCAGTAAAGTGAAAAGTAATTTACACAATCTACAGGATAAAATATAGAATGAATTGAATGATGAATAAACAGTGAGGGGTATGAATATACACAGCAGCCTGTGAGCAGTATGAACAGTGTGTATGAATATGCTAAGATATATAAAGTATGAAAACGGTAAGCAGTGCAAGTATAGTATAACATATATAAATATTAATTTCATGATGATAAACATTGTGGAACAATGATGACAAATGTTAATGGAGGGGGCGACGTAAAACTGACGCAAAACATCAGCAAACTTTTGCCGAGCCAATTGGAGAGTTTCATCACCAGCACGTGGTAAAAACCACCAATGAGCACTCAGCTCGAGATACCAGTGAGTCGTTTCCAATCAAGCATTTCGCTTCCGCAGCCCGTGGAGAGGAACTGCACCGCCTCGCCGCGCCTCGCTCTCAAGGCTGCGGGCGTCTTTGTCTCGCGAGATTTCAACGTCTCATGTAGGCGAGCCTCCAGAGCAAGTCGGACAAAATGACTAACCATCATGCAAAGCACTAGCAAGACGTTGATCGCAATTGCACAGGTCTGCGCAGGTCTCGCTTGTCTCAAACAAGCCTATTCTCTCCTTCTGGGTGTTTTCTTGAGCTAGGTGAGCTGGAGCTGGAGGAGCTTGGTAGAGCTGGACCAGCTGTGGGGGCCAAAGTGTCTGAGGCTGGGCTGGGGCCTTACCTTCACCCCCACCCCCCTGGAGCAGGGGGTGTGGAAGAGACTCTACATCCACTCTGTGCAGGAGCTGAGGCTCACCTCACTGCAGGTCAGGAGGTCACACAGAATAACTCCAGCAGTGTAGAATATATCTTACTGAATATTAACTCTGATGTGAGTGTCATAGAGACTTCATGTTTTCAGTGGCTGTTGATGGCTACATGTACTGTATCTCGGACAGAACATGCTTAGATTGCTAATAGCTACAACTGCAATAACTCATCTCTTTTGTTTTGAAAATAATATTTTCTGCATGGCCCCTGTTTGATAAAGACTTATTTTAATAATAATGGTATTATAATACCACATTGTGAAAATAATCCACTACAAGTGTAAGATCTGCATTAAAATGGTTACTTAATTAAAAGAATAATCAGGTAAATGTACTTGAAATATTACATTTAAAATTAACCATACTCAATGCAGAAACTCTTCAAAATTATTCGAAATAGATTTTTAAAACAGTTAAAGAAAAAAGCAGCAAAATCTAATTTTGGGTGCCTGTTCATTTTTGCAAGAATAATTGACTTCAATGTTTATCAAAAATAATAAATGTTCTGTTGATTAATCAACTCATTCACTCATTGAATAATACATGAAATATTAAGGCTGTACTTCACGCTGTTAGGTAGTTTAATTTATTAAAAAACATCCTCATTTTTTTGTTCTTTGGATTTTTTATGTGAAAATGTATTTCATTTTTTGAGTAACTTAGGCTTTAAATAATTGTTGAGAACATTACAAATATTAAACTGAATGTGGAGTAGAATAAGAAAGTAAATACCCAAGTACTGGTTGTTTAAATGTGTACCAAAATTGTATTTGAGTAAAGTTACTTAGTTACATTCCAACACTGATAAACTCAAAAATCAAACATGTAGTTGTCAAATATATGAATATTAGTTATTATTGTAGGATAACTAAATCAAGATTCAGTGATAAAATGTTTATAAAAATGTAATGTATACCTCCAGGCGTCCTCCCCCCAGCAGCAGTTGGAGGCTCCACATGTCTCCTCCATCAGTAAACCTGAAGATCTGTCAGAGGCGGTCTTCATCAGTAAGGGGGGGGGCAGCCTCCATCAGCCAGCCTCCAAGAAGCATCTCAAGGACGGGGATAAGAAAGGAGAAGCAGCCTGCCCCCCACCCTGGAGAGACTCTGACAGACGTCCTGCAGACACTCTGCGCTTCAACTACCTCGACAACCTGGACCCCCCCGAGCAGGCTCTGAAAATGTAAGACGTCAAATTGGATTGTTATTGGTCAAAGAAATCAAAACATTTAAACAGTTGAAAGTGAAATCAAGATAATGTTAGCAGATGATGAACAGTTATTAAGTAGACCATTAATGAATGGTCATTACATTAGCACTCCCAAATGAAACATCGTTAATAACAGAGTCCAGAGCATGGGGCTGTGGCTGTGATGTAGAGTGGGCGGCCGTCTACCAATCAGAATATAGGTGGTTTGATCCCAGGACCCAGCCCCCACAGTCAACATGCCAATGTGTTCTTGGGCAATATACTTAAGATACAGTGTGTGAATGTGAGTCTCCCTGAGCAAGTAGCACCTTGTATGACAGCTTCTGTGTGTAAACTAATTGTAAGTGTAAAAGACTGGGAAAACGCAATATAAATGCAGTCCGTTTACCATTGATTGGCCTTAAAACAAGAGAGATTGTACAATTTGACTTTCTGTATTTACACACCATACTGTATGCAAAACTAAATGTAGATATTCAGACGCAGCTCTCAGTCCACAGCCACAATCTGACATGTGAGATAACCTAGAAATAGAAATATAGCCATATATTGTTGATGTTCACACATTCTTAAAACTGGGCCTCCTGTTTCTAACAATGCACAGTTAGAAGAAGAACTGTCGTACCATTTTACCAGCCTTACATTTACACAACACCTTAAATTATTTTTAATTTTTTGCAACAAAGTTAGGTAAGCAACATTTTTACACACAACGTTATGCTGACTATGTGGTCATAGTTTTTACATCTTTATATTTAATTTGTAGTCTCTCCATGATTGGTACCAGATCTTAACATGGAGGCTATGGTTAGCACTAGAGGTGGAAGAAGTACTCAGATCTTGTAATTGAGTAAGTGTAGAAGTAGAAGAGTTTAATAATGTAATTATGGGGGCTCTAACCATTATCTGCAATTAATTGAGCAGAGAGGGAGGTGTCGGGGGGGGGAGAAATGATGCTGATGATGGGGTGTGAGGGAGGAGGGGGGGGGGCTGGGTGAGATAGAGGACACTGTGGCATTTAATATTCAGGCTTTGGTGATATTTATCAGACAAAATTAATAATGTAATACTCTGTTACAAGTAAAAGTCCGGCAATCAAAATCTTACTCAAGTAAAAGTACAAAAGCATTTTCATGCAAGTAGTGATTATGCAGATTGGTCCATTTCAGAATAATATATATGATATGTTTTATAATGATTGATCATTAAAGTGTTCTCAAAGCTGGTAAAGGTGCAGCTAGTTTGAATGACTTTGTATACTGCAGGGTAGCTTGTGAATTTACTCCAGGTGGAACTAAAGTCTGATTCACTTGATTATATTTCACATCATTAATCCAAATATGTAAAGTAACTAATTAAGCAAATGTAGTGGAGTAAAAGTACGAAGTAGCAAAGAATGGAAATACTTAAGTAAAGTGCAAGTACCTCAAAATTGTACTTAAGTACAGTTCTTGAGTAAATGTACTTAGTTACCTCCCAACTCTGCACTTCAACCATTTACACATACACAGTGCGAATTACAGTAATATTACAATGTATCTGAACTATTCACCACCAAATGCTGCCATTAAAAAAGTCAGAATAGGGCTTAAAAAGTTTGGTGCCATCTACAGGTTCTTGCAAAGAAGCCCCATTCATTGCAGATAACGTATTATTAGATTAATGAGCGCAACAGACACATGTTGCTCTTTGACCCTTGTCATCTGCAGGTAATATAACCGATTATTATGTTTGAAAGAGTACTAATGGTGTTGCTCCACCTGCTCCTCTCCCTGCAGGCGGCGGAGGACCCCCAGACTCCCCACCTGCAGCAGCAGCACACCGAAGAAATCCCCGTCCGAGACACACTACAAGCTACGCAAAGCCAAATCGATGGTAGAACATGCTCCATCCATCACCCCCCAACCCCCCCTACTGTGACTGTGACCTCCATGTCTGAATCAGAGGAGTGGTAAACGTGGGAGGGGTCTCTGGAGATGGTGCAACCAGCAGACATCATGCATTATGGAGCAGCCTTTACACAGCATGTTAATGATGCTGCTCAGAGAGGGAGGTGTCGGTGGGAGACAAATGATGCTGATGATGGGGTGTGAGGGAGGAGGGGGGGGNGGGTGGCAGGGTGTGATAGAGGACACTGTGGCATGTAATATTCAGGCTTTGGTCATATTCATCAGACAAGATTAATTAGCATGGATACTGGAGCTAATGAAATGTGACATATGACAGTATGAAGATGGAACTATTTTACTCCAGTATTACTTAAGCACCAATTTGAGGTTTTTACTTGAGTATTTTCTTTCATGCCACTTCACTACTCCTCCGAAGAGTACTCCACAACAATTCAAAGGGAATTTAGCCTTTTATATTTTACAAAATATATCTTAAAAGGGCCCTATTATGCTCATTTTCAGGTTCATATTGCTATTCTGTGCCTCTACTGGGACATGTCTCCATGCTTTAATGTTCAAAAAGATCTTTATTTTCCTCATACTATCTGTGCTGCAGCACCTCTTTTCACCCTCTGTCTGAAACCAGAGCCCAGTCTGCTCTGACTGGTTAGCTGGCCGGCTCTGTTGTGATTGGTCAACTGTTAGTATCTGAATCAGAATCAGAATCAGAAATCCTTTAATTGTCCTGCAACGGGTGCAGGACTCTTACTTGTGAAAATGTGGTTGTCAAGGTAACCCCACTTCTCTTCCTCTTCCCTCTTCCTTCAGATGTTCCTCAGCTCCAACTGCAGACGACCTCCTCCTCCTCCTCCTCCTCCTCCTCCTCCTCTTTATTACGAGACTCGACCCTCTTGGGCGTCTCCCAGTCACGACTACCCTGTCACCAAGGAGACGGTCAGCAGCCTGATGCGCCTCGCCCAGTGGAATGCAGGGATGCGCCCGGGGCCGGTGAGGTGGGCGGGGCCCCGGCCCAGGGGGGAGGCGCTCAGGGCGTCCCAGCGCTCTCACAGGAGCCCCCCCAGTAAGAAGCACGCCCCGGGGCTCAGAGTGATGTAACACACTGCAAGACACACATTCAGGAAACATTATGGGATAAAACCACTGATTCTGCAGGAAAGTGGCAGAATTTAGGCACTGTTAAAATTGCTAATAATGTCATGTATAATTAGAATGTGTGCTGTTTGTGACCCCATTAGAAATTGTGCTGGTATTGTTACTAACTCCTGAGTGAAATTAAATCATTCATTGCTTTTATGTTTAAAGCAAAGCATTAGAAGTAATTGTAGGCTGCAGCTATTGGAGAGTCCCACAGTGGGGAAATGTTCAGTGTTATAGCCAAATGAGCCAAAAGTAACTACGTACATTTACTGAAGTAAAGTACTTCAGTACAATTGAGGTACTTGTACTTTACTTGAGTATTTACATTTTGTGTAACTTCAACCGCACTACAAATAACAGTTAAATTGTGTACTTTTACTCCACTACATGTATTTAATTACTTTACAGATGTGGATGAATGGTGTGAAATATAATCAAGTGTTAAATCAGACTTTAGTTCCACCTGGAGTAAATCCACAAGCTACTCTGCAGTATACAAAGTCATTCAAACTAGCTGCACCTTTACCAGCTTTGATAACACTTTCATGATCAATCATTATAAAACATATCATATCTATTATTCTGAAATGGACCAATCTGCACAATGACTACTTTTACTTTTGGTACTAATACTTTGACTTGAGTAACATTTTGAATGCAGGACTTTTACTTGTAACCGAGTATTCCTACACTCTAGTACTTTAACTCAAGTACAAGTTCTGATTACTTCTTCCGCCTCTGGTTGTTGCCTTCTGTATCTGTAGCATAAAAAAAGGCAAAACAAATTGAGTATGTCAAATTAAATAAAGAGTAAAGCACACATTAATACAATACAAATAAAACAAGTTCACATCCAAGGTAAAAAAAATAATAGGTAACAGCGTTATAAAAGAAAGAGAACAAATATGAGTATTGGGGTAAACATTTGAAAAACTTTCTTGGTTTTAACCTTTGGAAATACATTATGCTTTTTTAATGTACATATCTTCTCAAACTAGGACATCGCCATTGGCTGTTAAAAAAACAAAGGTTAAAAAACCCAATTTACTATTGTAGAAAATGGAAAAGTGACTCCCTTATCTTAACAGAGTGTCCTGAGGCATGTTTGTGCCTCTACCAGCAGAAAATGTTCATTTTGTTTTACATAAGAAAATATATTTATTTCATGGTGCAACAAAAATGAAAAAATAAAAATTGTATTTAAGGTTTTGGACCTTTTTCATGGAAGACCTCTGACGTCAAAGCAGGAAAAGTCGAGGTGTTGAAACTGAAAGTGTGCAGTTTTAAATGCATCTACAAAATGTTTGACATTTAACAGTTAGAATAAAATGTTTTTTGTGGGACAATTGTTTTACTGAATAGTCCAAACAAAAAAGGTATACAGTGAAATTCTGTGATTTTGATACTGATCCTTTGTTGACCAATCAGAAGTCTCACTCTGACTAACATTACAGTGGTTGTGCTCTTAGTGATTTGAATCTCAGGTGTAATCATCACTAATAAAATGTATGTTATACTTTCCCCAGGTGTTCCCCTGTTTGAGGTTCTTCCCTGGACTGTGCCTTTCTCAAACACACACAGATGAAGCTCATCGCCTCCATCAGGAACACGTAAAAGCTACAGCATCAAAGGGTGGAGTTTATATATTTCAACATGTAATGTCGGATACAACTGCAATCTCTTGGCAAGGTATTGAGTAAGAACCGCACTGCTAGTGGCAGGCTGAAAAAAAAGCCAATTATTAAGAGTCATTTTAACTCATATCATATTTGTTTTACAATATGTGAAAAGAACTCCAGAAAAAGATTTACAGAGAACAATTTGGGAAGAAAAACAGTGAAAAAAATCATCTTAAAGGAGACAGTACTGTAAATAAATATAAATCTATAAAATACTGTATGCAAACTGAGGATCTGCTGCTTTTCTTTAACTTATTTGAAACCTTTGAAAATATTGGCTTCTGAATTTAGTTTTTATATTAAGGTAAAGGTGGGGTATGCAATTTATTTCAGAAACACTTTTTGTTATATTCCATGGAATGCTCTTAACATCCAGATAGCAATGAATACATAAATAAATGTCATCTGTGGAAGCCGTGGCGCTGTAAAAAGTACAACCAATCATTTTAGCCGGCCCGGCTAAAATAACTGGATGGCCTACCTGCCTGTCAGCCTTCCATCTGTGCACAAACTTATCTCGTGCCCTAATTGGTCATGTGTGCATTTGTGTGTGTTGGAGGAGGGGCTCTGTAAGGAAGTGGGAGATTTTTTCCGGTTGTATATTTTAAAAATTCTAGCGCACTCGAGCTGGTTTCTCCAAAATTACCTACGCCACATTGGCCTGCAAATACTAATATAGACTGACTTTTTGTCAATATAAACCTGTTGACGTTTCATATTTTCTGGTAAAAAACACATTTTTAAGTACTTCAGTACATGTTCCCAATAATACTTACTATTCACTTGTTACAGTAAGTTTCAATGCAGTACTTTTAATTGTAGTGCTTTTACCCTCCACAACTGCTGTATCACAAGAAAGCAAAGGAAACAGTTTTATAAGAAATGTACCACCTTTATTCAATCCACACATCCCATTCAATACGCAGTACAAAGCCAAAGCAACTCATATAAACAGTGAGCGTGAACACAGAACATATGAAACAATAACTGACGGGAAAAGGGAATCTGTCTCAGTGTTCAACACCTGGTGCTCAACACACAGAGGGAGGCTCGGTGCACATCCATCATGATGATTCAGTCAGATATGGAATATCAGTATCATACGCACACCTGCTCCAATTATTGTACACTTATGCATCAAAAACATAGCATTCAAAGTGTGGCTCTCACACACATACGTATATATTACTAAATACAAGAGGATCAAAAATAAACAGGCCTGAATGAAAGGAAATACGCGACGTGTTAATTTATGTTTATGAACTGAATGTTAATGGATCACTATATATACACTTTATGGCTTATGATGAAATGAAGTTATTTGAGTCGGGATGAAGTTATTTTCAGGTTAGAATCCTAATATGTTTTCCTGCGAGTTTTAATATTTGAAGGCGGTGCCATGAAAAGCCAAAGGTATTTTAATTTGTTATAATGATAGGGGTGATGATGCTACAGTCATAAAGATATTATTATACTATGCTGCATGGTCAAATCTGATTAGTCATTTTATGGAAAAGTGGAGGTTTTATGCCCAAAACATTTGTATTAGTTCATTTTTTACTCTATCCGCATTCAGAAGTTACATGAACAATGAACAGTTATTAAACCTAAAGCAATGTAGTCGAGAATGATGAGATTGTCTGATGTTGAGAACGTTAGAAAATATCCAAGTGAGGATAATCAAACTCACAAAAGGGCAAATGTTAAAAGTCATTACGTTGGAAGTCAAACTTAAGGACATTTTTTGTATATTAATACCATATTTTAAAGAAAAATGTCAGGTTACGAATAGATCTAGTTCTATTTATAGATGAAACAACATGTAAATAAAGTCAAATTAAAGTTTCAATTTAAATAATGATGAGATGAATTGTTCAATTAACCACTCGGGGAATAAAACCTTTCTATTTTTCAAAGAGAATGTCAACCTCTGTCTGAAACTAGAGCTGTGTCTGCTCTGATTGGTTAGCTGTGTTGTGATTGGTCAATGGCTTAGAGGTGTCCCACCCCTTTGCCTACCACGTAAAATGTGATGGAGCCCTAGCCAATAGAAATGTGATGTCACTATGTTACGGAAGCAACCAATTCTTTTAAAACTTGTTCAGTTAAGAAGCACATATCATGTATTCAGAATGAAAGATGGCCTTTCTTTGATAGAAATGTCTGTTTAATACAAAAGCCACACAGTAAGTCACTTAAAACATGGCGAAACCAACAACAATCATTCAGAAGGATTGCCGCATTAACAGTTAAATAAAAACACATGGCGGGTCGATTTGATTTTGTTCCATCATCACAGCCTTTACAGAACTTAGAGCCAACCGGATCTTACTGGATGTGCAAAGTAAGATTAATGTTCACAGTGGATTTATTTCACAAGATTGGAGTGTGAGAAAAAACAAATACAACAGCTGAGCATAGAAAGAGAAAATGCTTTTAGCAATACTTACATCAAACCAAGGAATCCCTTATCTGCTTCAATATTTAGCCCTTCACTGCAACACACACTGATTGATTTCATTGAGACTCATTCTTCAGATCAAGTGAGAAGACAGAAACACTTCCACTTGTTTTAACACACAAACTCTGTCACAATGTAAAACCTTCACTATGAAAGGATTTATTTTGCTTCAAATTTGAATAAAAGCTGTACACTAAACTTCTTCCATTGTCAAATAAAAGATTGAGAACGTTAGTCGAAGAACATTTTTTTCCAAGTGCCGCTTGCAAAGCATGGTTACATAAGGCTGAAGGGTGTCCGTCGGTGTGCTTTGACAGCTGCTGACAGCGGAGGCAATTCATGTGGCGCTTTCATATTGTTTTTTGCAAAGTTAGAAGAAGGTTTCCATAGCTCGGAGGGAATGACTATGCAAATACACACGAGTATTAACATTGAGTCTTTTTAAATAATGTAAACATATACATCTTATTTGAGGTCAGAGCATTGATCCTCTTCATATCTGTTTAGATTTAAAAAAGAAGAAAAAACGTTACTGGAGCATCGTCCGGATGTTCTTCGGAGTGGACTCGTCGTTCAGGTGTTTTGTGGTGAATCTGAGGAGGAAGAAAAGTGTTAGTGGGAGAGTAAACAGGAAACTGATGATACAAAGCAGCCATTTTGTCTTTTTGTGCACATACTAAGGCTAAGCTAATCCAAGACAAGTTGTTCAATCTAAATGAAACGTTAATGGAGGTTTATCCATTAAATACATTATTTAAAAAAATGTTGAGAATAACAACTTCTATTTTTAATAAGTAGCTAAAAAATAATAGTTTGAAAAAACTTTGTCCTTTCGACTATTCAAATATTCAAATAGTTGGCGATTCATTTTGTTTTGGTAAACGCAAAACAGAAAAGGCTAATTGCTTGTGATTAACAAAAAAGAAGAAATAAATGATAAATGTTTGTGTGGATAAAGAAGAAGGAATCATTACTTTTGGCAGCTCTGTATTTCTTAACAGAAATGTATCTGCCAGCTAGCTAAGTCACGTAGATAACGTAAAAATATAGCAGGGTCGTTGATCTTAGCACGCTATACATGCTAGCTGCTAGTTGTAATCAACTAACAAACAAGAGTAACAAGAAACTAAGAAAAGGCAAAAAAGAGAGATCGTAAATAAGATCATAGGATAAGAAAGAAAAAAAGAGCAAGATTTTGCGAGCATGTTCTTTCTCACATAATAATTCCTGTATTTCTTTTTAAATGAGGTTACATTTGTACTTTTCTACCATGGTAGAGAGCAAACTAGTAGTATTGAGTCAGCCATTTGAGGATATTCCTAGTAATGGAAATGAATCCACAGTCAAGTTTTGACTTTGTGTCCCTGAGTGTAATACATTCTAACATCCACCTGTCCATAGTGGTAAAGCTGAACAGTTTCAATCAATTAGTTTCAACTTTCCCACAGGCTGCTGTGGCAGCTGAAGAAACAACAACAGAGGATCAGGAGGGGATAGCTGCACCCCCCCCTCGTATCTCTTCTCTTTACGAAATCGTTATGAATGTAGTTGGTTCCCTTAGGGAATAGACCGAAGTATAAATCGGGAAGTGACCGTTGTATGTGACTAACTAAAGTAACTCGGAGTAAGAAGTCTAGTTCACTCTTCTGTCTTTGTGAAGGTGAACAAAAATTGTGTTGGTTGAGACAGTGTTACATTTTTGGAGTGATCTTTCCTAAATAAAACGAAGTTAAACTTATTTTCGACATGTGATTTGAGAAAGGTAACAGTTTATTTTCTAACTCTTGCAATGCAAGGCTTCTTGTAAAAAAGTTCACGGCGAACGTTCGTACCAATTGTATTCCGGACTCCCACAGGCAGCCACACGAAACTGTCGACGACTGTCGCCTCCGTTAAGTACACGCGAAGTATAACAAAAACGTTCAATCTCTTCCCAAAGTATCGAGCCTCCCTATCTGAATACGTTTATGGTGTGCTCATAATTGAACTCAGAAAAATTTATTACATTTGTATATGTATAATAAACTCAGTCTCGTAACTTAGGAGAAGTATAGACAAATCTAAATTTTTCTTCTTTTTGCAATGACTCGTAGCAGGCCTACAAGAAGCCTCACCTGGAGCAGCAAGTCCACAAAACACCACTTAGACTCCTCCTTCTTTTCACAATCACCCTCCATTTGTCCTTTGACTACTTATTTTCGTCGGTAAAAACAGAAAAACACCGGTATGATTCGATTTCGATTTAGGTTCTGTTCAACAAGTTAGATTTACTTTGCAATTACCTCCAAATAGTAATTTATGTAATAAATTTTTTACAACTCTTATGTTGAAGTAAAAATTATTCATGATTTTTATATCAAACTTTTTTGAAACAGGAAAGCTGATAAGGTTTATAAGTTTTCAACCGCTAAGTAAAACAAAACCATTTGCGTTTTGCTTTTCCGATTAACGAAAAACCCTAATTGTTTTTCTCTTTATTTTACTATTTACAAAAACAACACCTATTTCTTCTTCCTTAGTAAGAAAACCGTGAGACATAAAGATTGTCTTACATAGACGGTCGATCGATTCAGGTGCATCTATTTTGCATTTTTTATATCGTCCCAGCAACTAGAATCGTGCGATATGTACGACGACGGTATCATACATTAGTTGATGTTTGTCTCATTGTTCTTGATTCTTTTCCGTTTTTCTCCTAGCATTTATTCTAGTATCCTATTCTTCTTTTCTCGTTCTAAAAGCCGTACCAAGAAAGAGTATGTATTTATTAAGACATAAAGAAAAATTTACCCAATGTAACATGATAAAGATGTACCATCTCTCTTGTGATCATCATAACTCAGTCGGTAAACTCCTATAAGGATCATTACCTTTACTGGTGTCAGGTTCAAAAACGAAACACAGGGACGTCACATTATGTAAGATTTAGGTGGACAGTATCACCATTTTCGATTGTTTAGTTCCCAAAGTTAGTAATCAAAGTTTGAAAGGGTTGTCCGACGGGACACCGTCGACTTCTTTGTGTTGTCTCCCTAGTCCTCCCCTATCGACGTGGGGGGGGGGTGGGTGGGAAAAGTCGGATCGGTTCGGTTTGTCTTAATTAGGACACACTTTGACTACGACACGAGGTCTTTACTTCTGGATACCAGGACGTCCTGCGAGGCAATTCAACAGGTACCGTACTTTTGGAGGTAGTGGCAACACTCAGATGTCTCCAGTGACACTTGTCGAACTCGCATGTGTTACCCCGCGCCCGGCCCGCGCGCGGGCGGTGCGGCGCCGCTTGCGATGTTGGAGCTCATGGCCTCGGACAACGAGTGGAATCCTACATGACAGTGGCGCCTTTTCATATACAACGTTTGTAGCTCATGGTTAACGGAGGATTGAGAAGAGAGAGACGCGGCGGCGGGCGGGCAGCGGCGAGGGTCGACGCGCGAAGAGGCTGCGACGCGGGGACTGCAGTTACCGCATCCGTGGAGCAGAGATGATATGGGGTTGCGGTTGGCAGTCGCCTTTTTGTAAATGGCCAGCATAGTGCATTACGTGAAATTCTACAAAACTGAAAGAAACCATGAAGTGCCGATATCAGCAAGCCGAACCATAAACCATTCTTACAGTTAAGTAAGGCAAAGTACATCGACACGAGATTAAGATAGCGCCTCGTCGGTCGGGCGGGGCGCGCGGGCGCCGGGCACGGCGTGTGGGAGGCGGCGGCGGCGGGGGCGGTGGCCTGTAACGACCAACAATCCTGATGACACTCTAGTAGTATGGCCACAGTTCGCTGCGGCGACGGGGCTTTCCCTTAAAGTTTTCGATCATGAGAGGAGAGGGGCTCTGCGCGGGCGGGCTGGCGGCGGCTGGCCGGCGGGCGCGCGGCGCCGTCCTTTCTCGCGCGCGGCTATGATGACGGTTTTTTATTATTCTTTAGTATATGTGTTATGCCGGAGGAAGCTGTGGTCATACTACTAGAGGGAGGAGAGGAGGTGTGAACAGCGGAGCCGCGATGGTCAGAGATTGGAGCACATGGGAGGACGAAGAGAGCCTTGGCATGCTGTGTGCGGTACTGTTGCTTACCTCGAAGCGGTAGAATGTTAGTGGTTGGCGGCGTGTTGCTGCGCGATATGCGAGCCAGCCTTCATCGGGCTTTCGATTGTTCAGGTTGAGAAATTGCGACGGTTAAGTGCAACTATTGCCATTTCTACCAACGATGCGACTGCCAACACAAAGATATATCTACTTGCTGCCCACGGATGGTAATGTGCGTGGGGTGCGCGCGAGATGTGCGGAGAGGCGACTGCCGAATTTCTTAGTCGCTTCCGTGTGAAACATGGAGGAGGAAGAGAGGATCGATGGAAGAATATGTAGATTCATCTTGTTCGAGGCCTGCATGTAGCTCCATAAGCGGGATCTCCGGGGGGTACATCGTCAGGAGTCGACAGGTGTCACTGGAGACATCTAGTGTTGTCATTGTATAGGAATCTAAAAAGTACGGGTACTGTGAATTGACTCGCGGACGTCTACCTGTTATCAGAAGTAAGACACTCGTCGAAGTCAAAAGGTGTCCTAATCTAAGACAAACACGACCAT